TCACCCTGCTCTTCTCTCAAAAACAGCCAGCCAAAGAAAGAGAGAGAGAGAAAAAAAGAATAACAAAAACAAAAAACCAGCCATCCAGGCCAGGCGCGGTGGCTCAGCCTGTAATCCCAGGACGTTGGGAGGCCCAGGCAGGCGGATCACCTGAGGTCAGGAGTTCGAGACCAGTTTGGCCAACATGGTGAAATCCCGTCTCTACTCAAATACAAAAATTAGCTGGGCCTGGTGGTACACGCCTGCAGTCACTCGGGAGGCTGAGGTTGCAGTGAACCAAGATCGCACCATTGCACTCCAGCCCTGGGCAACAGAGCAAGACCCTGTCTCAAAAACAAACAAACCAGCCACTTCCTGCCCTGACTGCTGGGGGTCCAGGCCCCCTGGGCCAGCCACTAGCAGGAGGTAGGGAGGCTGGGAGAGAGATGAGCAGAGCTAACAGTGACAGGACACCTGCTCCAGCCAGGACCTAGGCTAAGCTCTGGGCTAAGCTCCCCACTTATATTATTTCACTGAGTCCTCCCAGCCATTCTCTGGGGTAGGTACTACCATGATCATCGCCCCATTTTATAGATGAGGTGACTTGAGGCTGAGAGAGAGGTGTCATAGAGTGATATGCAGAAAAGGGATTTGAACCCAGGTTGATTCCATAGTCTGTTCTTTTGTTTGTTTTATAGAGATGGGAACCTCACTGTATTGCCCAGGCTGGTCTCAAACTCCTGGCCTCAAATGATCCTCCCTCCTTGGCCTCCTAAAGTCCGAGATTACAGGTGTGAGCCACTGCTCTTGGCCAGAATCCATGCTCTTTTTTTTTTTTTTTTGAGATGGAGTCTGACTCCATCACCCAGGCTCGAGTGCAGTGGTGTAATCTCAGCTTACTGCAACTTCTACCTCCCAGGTGCCAGCAATTGTCCTGCCTCAGCCTCCCGAGGAGCTGGAATTATAGGCATGTGCCATCATGCCTAGCTAGTTTTTTTATTTTTAGTAAAGATGAGGTTTCACTGCATTGGCCAGGCTGGTGTCAAACTCCCGGCCTCAAGGGATCTGCCTACCTCGGCCCCCCAGAGTGCTGGGATTACAGGTGTAAGCCACCACACCAGGCCAGAGTTCATGCTCTTAACCACTCCTTGGGCAAGGGCTGTGGGCCTGGGGTATGGGTGTGGATGGTAAGTCTTCCTTATGAGGAACGTGGGAATTGCAGCCACACAGAAATGTGGCTTTTCCAGTCTACGAAGTATAAAGGAACAGAAAGTAGCCTTCATGCCCACAAGGCTCACAGGAGTCACAGAAGTGCCCCTGCAAGAGTTTGTTTTTGGTTGTTTTGAGAAAGGGTCTTGCTGTGTTGCCCAGGTTGGAGTGCAGTGGTGTGATCATGGCTCACTGCAACCTCCGCCTCCCAGGTTCAAGGGATCCTCATGCCTCAACCTCATTTGTAGCTGGGACCAAGGTGCCGTGCCACCATGCCTGGCTAATTTTTGGATTATTTTGTAGAGATGGGGTCTCACTTTGTTGCCCAGGCTGGTCTTGCCCTCCTGGGATCAAGCAATCCTCCCGCCTCAGCCTCCCAAAGTGCTGAGATTACAGGCATGCCTCTGTGCCTAGCTTCACTGTTTAAGAGTTAAAATCATATTTATTTGCAAACTTTGGCTCTCAGTTTCCCTACTTTTTTTTTTTTTTTTTTTGAGATGGAGTCTTGTTCTGTCTCCCAGGCTGGAGTGCAGTGGCACAATCTCAACTCACTGCAACCTCCACCTCCCAGGTTCAAGTGGTTCTCCAGCCTCAGCCTCCTGAGTAGCTGGGATTACAGGCACACGCCACCACGTCCCGCTAATTTTTGTATTTTTTAGTAGAGACGGGGTTTCACCATGTTGGCCAGGCTGGTCTCGAACTCCTAACCTCAGGTGATCTGCCTGCCTTGGCCTCCCCAAGTGCTGTGATTACAGGCATGAGCCACTGCACCTGGCCCTCATTTTCCCTACTTTTAAATGAGTGTGTGAGCTGGGACTACACAGAGCGCTGGGATTATAGGCGTGAACCACCATGCCAGGCCTGTGTAAAGTTCTTTTTTTTTTTTGAGACGGAGTTTCGCTCTTGTTGCCCAGGCTGGAGTGCAATGGTGCGATCACGGCTCACTGCAACCTCCGCCTCCCAGTTCAAGTGATTCTCCTGCCTCAGCTTTTCCTGAGTAGCTGGGACTATAGGCATGCACCACCACGCCTGGCTAATTTTCTATTTTTAGTAGAGACGGGGTTTCTCCATGTCAGTCAAACTGGTCTTGAACTGATATGTGGCTTCAGGTAATCCACCTGCCTCGACCTCCCAAAGAGCTGGGATTACAGGCGTGAGCCACCACGCCTGGCCAGGCCTGTGTAAGGTTCTAATTGAGGATGCTGTACGCGTGTTCCTGCCTCAGAGCCTTTGCATGTGCCGTTTCCTCTAGCAGGAGTGCCCTTCTCCCAGCTGTCTGTCAGGCTTACTGTATTCCCATCTCTACTTGAATTTCACCTCCTCAGAGAAGCCCTCCTTGACTACCCTGTCTGTATAGCCCCCTTCCATGACTCACCATCCTCTGAATATGCCTTATTTATCCTCTTAGTTCTCACCACCTCCTGGTATACAGTCTGTTTTGGGGGTTACTTCTTTGTGGTCTGTTTCCTCCAACTACACAGAATGTCAGCTCCAGGCCGGGTGTGGTGGCTCCTGCCTGTAATCCCAGCACTTTGGGTGGCTGAGGCAGGCGGATCACCTGAGGTCGGGAGTTCAAGACCAGCCTGAGCAACATGCAGAAACCCCGTTTCTAATAACCCAGGCATGGTGGCACATGCCTGTAATCCCAGCTACTCGGGAGGCTGAGGCAGGAGAATTGCTTGAACCTGGGAGGTAGAGGTTGCGGTGAGCTGAGATTGCGCCATTTCACTCCAGCCTGGGTAACAAGAGCAAAACTCAGTCTCAAATAAATAAATAATAATAATAATAATAATGTCAGCTCCATAAGGGAAGGGAATTTTGTCTTGTTCTCTACAGTATTCCCTGCACCTACCACAGTGTCTGCCTTGGATGAGGTTCTCAATATATATTTGTTAAATGAGTGAATGAAGCGGTAACAAGCTTCTGAAAAAATAAGTTGACCATCTCTGCTCTGGTCCTATGGGGCCATCTCACAGATGGAAACACTGAGGTTTGATTCAAGGTTTGAGAACAAGGGTCCCATGTGATTGTGTCACCTTCTTAAGAGACTTTCATGCCTCCTGAATGCCCTCAAGAGCAAGTCCAGGCCGGGCATGGTGACTCAGGCCTGTAATCTCAGCACTTTGGGAGGCCGAGGTGGGTGGATCACCTGAGGTCAGGAGTTCAAGACCAGTCTGGTCAACATAGTGAAATCCCATCTCTACTAAAAATAAAAAAATTTACTTGGGCATGGTGGCAGGTGCCTGCAATCCCAGTTACTCAGGAGGCTGAGGCAGGAGAATCACTTAAACCTGGGGAGGCGGAGGTTGCAGCAAGCCAAGATTTTGCCCCTGCACTCCAGCCTGGGCAACAGAGCAAGACTCCGTCTCAAAACAAAAAACAAAACAGAAAAAAAATAGTAAGTCCAAATTCCTAACCTTAACTTCCAAGCCATGTATAATCTAATTCTGGCACACTCACTAACTTGTGGTCAATATTAACTCTTGTTATTGCTGGGCAATCTTGCTCAGTGGTTAAGTGCCATGGACTGGGAGTTGGATACACACTTATGATTGAGTCCTGACTCTGTCGCTTACTTGCTGTGTGACTTTGAGTTGGTGAATGAATGAACCTCTCTGAATCACATAATCTTGAACTGTCCTGTTTGATCATGCCCATGTTCCTCCCCTTCTCCAAACTCTTCAGTGGCTCCTCATAGCAGTCAGGATAAAATCCAAACTCCTCACCTTGGCCTAAAGGCCCAGTATGGTCTGGCCTTTGCTGACCTCTCTGAACTCATCTCAAAATGTTACTTTTCTTCAACCTTTCCACTGTAAAACCTCTGCCCAAGTTCTTTTAGTTTCCCAAACTGGCCAAGATTTCTTCCTTCCAAGCCATTGCACATACTGTTCCCTCTACCAAAAATACTTTCCCACTTCTTCATTCTTACTCTTTGCATCCCAGCTCTGATGTCCCCTCCTCCAGGAAGCCCTCCTGGACAACCCCCCACCTCACCCACCAAAATCAGAAACTCTCTCTGGGCTCCCACAGTCCCTAGGATCCCCTACCCCAGCCCTGACCCTTCAAGTCATCACTGTCTTGCCCACCCCTCTACTAGACTGGTTCAGTCATCCATGTGTCCCCAACCTCATCGAGCACGGGGCAGGTGCTCAGGGAACGGCTGTAGAAGAAATAATCCAGAATCAAGGCTAAGCAGGAAGTCTCTGTAGTCAGCTCTCCACACCTCTATCCCAGGCATGACCTTGGGAAAATTACCAAACATGTCTGAGTCTTATATTTACGAAATAGTGAAATAGTATGCATCTCACCGCATTGACGATTCTATCAAGAACTAACAGAGTTCAGGAGGTGCTGAACTAAGCAACTTACCCATATTAGCTCATTTAATCTTCACAGAAACGCTTTGAGGTGCAGACTATTTTTATCTCCATTTTACAGATGCAGCAACTGAAGTACAGTAACTTACTCAGATGACACAGTTGAGTGGCAAAGTTGTGATAGGAGCCCAGGCAGCCTGCCTCCAGAGTCACTACTCTACACTGCATTTAATGAAATCCTGCCTGCGCTGATGAGCCCAGGTGTGGACCTGAGTCAGGCCTCCTGGGTCTGGTTCCATTCCTGACTCTTGACAGTTACTAGCTAAGGGACCTGGGGCAAGTAATTTCATTTTTCTGAGCTTCAGTTTCCCTAGCTATAAAATGGGGAAAAGGACAGCATCCACCTCACAGGGCTGCAGCAAGGCTGGAACAGCGCAGACACACAGCCGACTCTGTCTTTGCTCGCTCTCGCTAAGCGATGCCGAAGACACTCACCTGCACGTCGGTCCTCCCGGCGGTCTTCCGACAACACGTAGCGCTGGGGGCAGGCGCTTGGGGGCGGCGGCTGTGAAGAGGGGGCTGCAGGGGGCTCCTCCGCCCCAGCACCTGCCCCTGGCCCCGCCACACCTGGCCCCAGGATGGCAAAAATTGTCTCCTCTTCCGCGGAGAAGGCGTCCTCCGCGGCGGGCCCGGCGCCCTGCGTGGAGTGCGGCACGCGAGCGAGCTTCTCCTTGGTGCGGCGCTTGAAGTCGTTCCAGCGCTTCTGCACCTCCTGGCCCGTGCGCTTCCAGCTGGTGATACCGTTGATCTTGGCGGCGATGCCGTCCCACACGCGCCGCCGCTCGGCCACGCTCACCCGACGGCTCTGCGCGCCGTAGAGCTGCGGGTAGTGGGCGCGCACCTCACGGATCAGAATCTGGTTCTCTTCGAACGAGAAGCGCGGCTTGCGCAACCGGGTGGTTTCCTCCGCTTCGCCCGCCGCCGCCGAGGCCATGGCGCCCCCCGACGCCGCCGTCCTGCCGTCTGGCGCATGGGGGGCGCCGGCGCTGCGGGCAAAGGACGCATGGGGCTGGCGGGGGCTCGGCGTCCCCCCGCCGCCGCCCCGCCCGGACCGCCAGGCCGCGAGCTTCTTAGTCCCCGGGGCAGGAGTGGGGGCGGGGGGCGGGCGGGGGCGACGGGCACCTGGGGCAGTCGGAAGCGCCTAAGAATAGCTGACACCGGCCGAGTGCTCGGCTCGGACTTCGCGCGGGGAGAAGTGCCACGCTGAAGAGTTGATATAAATTGGGGGAGGGTCTGGAGGGATGGAGGGAAAGGAGGAAAAGTGCGAGGAGAGGAGGTGTCTGCAGGAGTTAGATAATGGGGGCATGGGAGGATAGGAAATGGAGGGAGGAAGGGGGTGCCTTGGGGGGTCTTAGATGCATGAAGATAAGGAGATGCGGAAGGGGCGAGGCAGCAAGAAAGGGGGAATCTGGTGCAGAGGCGGCGCTCTAGGAGCTCCAGGGGGCAACCGGGCCGTCTGTAAGACTGATATGAGAAGGGCCCTTAGAGGATGTCCAGGAATAATGGTGAGGTGGGAGCTCCTGTACCACTGGAAAAGCTGGAACGATCAAATATTAGGGATCAGGGTCTGCGGGGGTTGTGGAGGCTCTGGGGATTGCTAGAAATTAAGGGGAGCTCTAGAGATAACAGAGGTCCCGTATCACAAGGAGACAGCGGAGGCTACGGGGGACGGCAGGGAGAGCGAGGGTCGCGGAGGGTGCGGACCGAGTCGGGCCATGGGTCACTCACCGGCGCCGCCGCAGCCGCCGGTGGGTCAGGGCTCGGGCTTCTGCGGCCTGTTCCCACCCCCCGCCTCCCTCCCTCCCCTCTTTGGGCCCCGCCTCCGGCCGCCCCGCATGCCAAGGCGCAAGCGCGCCCAGGGCCAGTCGGCCACAACGCCCTTACCGCCTGGGTTTCATTCCCACCTCCCCCAGCACAGCGCAGGCGCAGAACTGCGCTCCGCCGAGCCCCACCAGCAGGCCGCAACTGCGCAGCCGTAAGATTAGCGCCGCGCGTGTACCCTAGCCCCCTGGGGCCACAACGGCGCACGCGCAAAAACTCCGTCGCGCGCATGCGCGTGTCCCGGGTCGTACCCGGGACTGGGTCTCGGCGCAGGCGTAGCGAGCCTTGGTGGCAGAGACACTGGGAGCGCGCCAGCACTCAGCCTTTCGGACAGTCTTCCAGCCCACCCCGCTCTCTACGCAACTGTCCCTTTCTCTAGGAGAAAGGGGAGGGAGGCAGCGCTGAAGGGAAGCGTTTTGTCTTCTTGACAACTGCGTGGGTGGAGTGGAAGCGTGAGGAAACCGCTTTGCCTCCAGGCTTCCCCGCCCCTGTGCTGGGCAGCTCCAGAGCTTCCCACCTTGCACCCTCTAGAGGCGGGGCGTCCTGAGGATGTCCCGCCCCGGGCGGATGCGGTAACCATAGCAACCCACAAGCCTTCCAATCACGCCTTGGGGGCCCCTCTGTCCGCACCTTTACCTCGTGGAGCGGGGAAGATAAGAGGGAATAGCTTCTTGGCTGGTAGGGAGGGAAATCCTGACGCCGGCATGACTTTAAGCAAGTGCACGGAGATAGGAAAGAAGCCAGAACGCAGGTGAGGTGAGCCGAATGGCAGGATAATGGAGCTCAGTCCGGCTGAGAAATGTGTTCGTTAGCATCCTGCAGGAGTCCTCAAGGTCATGCGACAAGCGGTGCTTCATTCATCGACTCAATAAATATAAATGAGCACTTATACAGTTCCTGGTACGATGAACATAAAAGCTAAAATCCGTAGCCTGGGCCGGGCGCGGTGGATCTCACGCCTGTAATCCCAGCACTTTGGGAGGCCGAGACGGGCGGATCACCTGAGGTCAGAGATTCGAGACAAGCCTGGCCAACATAGTGAAACCCTGTCTCTACTGAAAATACAAAAATTAGCCGGGTATGGTGGTGCATGCCTGTAATCCCAGCTACTCGGGAGGCTGAGGCACGGGAATCGCTTAAACCCCGGAGGTGGAGGTTGCAGTGAGCTGAGATTGCACCACTGCACTCCACCTGGGTGACAGAGTGAGACTCCGTCTCAAAAAAAACAAAAAAATACATGCCTGTGGTCCCAGTTACTTGGGAGGCTGAGGCGGGAGGATTGCTTGAGCCCAGGAGCTGGAGGCCACAGTGAGCTATGCTCAGGCCACTGCTCTCCAGCTTGGGTAACAGAGTGAGACCCTGTCTCAAAAGAAGGGAGAGAGAAAAATAAAAGGCCCCTCTGCCTATTGTGTGGAGGGTGGGTGGAAGGGAGCAAGACTACTGGGCAGAGTCAAAGTCATGAGCAGGGGTAAGAAAAGGATTAGGAATGGGGCGGGGGGGACTAGATTAAGACAGGAACAGTGTCAAGGGGGGACATGGAGAGACGTTTGAGAGAATATATGGAAAGCATGGTGAGTGTCGGGCTAGGGAGGGAAAGGAAGATATCTAGGTGAAACCCAAGTCTCTGGCCCAGGTCCCACTTGGGGGTGTGGGATCAGGTAAGATATGGTGAATGTAAGGCTGGGCGCAGTGGCTCACACCTGTAATCCCAGCACTTT